CTGTATATATTACAACGTTTATAATTATCTATTTTATTTAGTCTCTATTAGGCCCTGACCTATTATCATCTCTTTCAGTTTAATAAATAATTTAATTATAGTTGTTATAAATAGAATTACAAACTCGTATTACATAGTTAAATTAAATTTGCAATTTATAAGTGGCATTCAAAAATCGATATTCAAATACATTGAGTACATGAGTTAGATAATTAATTAAATATGTTAGTACGTATTATTCATTTGATTAGTTATTTAAAAACAATATACTACATATAATTATTTTTAACATGTTCACAATTTATACTGACAATAAAAAATAGAAACTAGCAGATATTACATTATATTACCACGATTTGGCCGTTCTGCACGTGCGCGACGTCTGTAGCCTGCGTACGGGATATATGTATAGGTACAACGCTTGCGCACAACGCACAGAGTCTGCTCTAAAGTGAGAAACAAATATCATCCGCACCGTAATATTTTTCGAAACTCTCAAGCACAATCAGCAATGTAGGAGTATTACACATATTTTATTTCACACACGTATACCGCTATGTGGCCAGATTTGAGACACAAACAGCAGCAGCAGCAGCAGGAATAAAAGGATTACCGCATATATGCGCAAGTCACATTGTACATGTGAGCTCCGCGCTTCGCATGTACATGGCTTGTGCATGCGTTGCCGGCGATACATGCCGATATGTGTACATCTGAGATACTAGCCATCTATCGGCAAGAATTTATAAAGTACATCCCAGACGACTGAAATAATTTTCATAGTTTTCATGACATTTCGACTTTAGACTTTAATATCTTTATTTATACAGCATATAGAGCAAAACAAGCATACTTTTATTATATATTTTGGGTAAGCGCTATCGATTGAGCCTATTTTTAAATCGATCGGCTCAGGCATTACTGAGATCCAATAATCTCGGCTCGTCTCAACTTTCGGTCTCGCGTAAAGATACACGGTCGGTCTTGCGCTGCGCGTGAACTTGGCGCGAGACACTGCCGTGTCTCTTGATTGACTTACCAGTTGCTGTCCACGGTAAAGCCTCGACTGACAATGAATCTTCTCTATTCCTTGGCACACTTGTTCCCATAACTATGCTAATAAATTCAGTACAATAATGATTCAGCAGCTCCGATGCAATATTTACGTGACAACTTAATTCTTCTAATAAAAATATTAAAATATATGTTATAATTTTACTTGAATCGTGAAAAAAATTAGCGGTGTTATTAATTATAGCAAATATAACCTAAAAATTTAAAGTTGTATAATTAAATTCTAAATAAAAACATCGCAAGCATTTTTATACGCTTGTGATATATTTTAAACAAAGAATTATAATCTATTGCTATTAGATAATTGACAGATCACAAATCTAGAAGAATAAATAAATCACAAAGGATATTAATGTACGCGATTTAAGATTCTAACTTCGACGACAATCAACAGTCATAAAACAATTTCGGATATTTTATTCTTCTGATGTAATTCAAATAAATACGCATAATGATAATGTGGGCACACTTGTACAGAATTGCAAATCTAATGACAACAATCTGCTGACATACTTTGATAATCGTTTTATAAAGCGATTCAAAGTCCGATATTCATTTTGTATATTCCCGCTCATTATATTATCCACAGAATTAGTTTGGATGACGATGATTGTTCAATACTTATTTTAATACTACATATACTCATTTATGCACGTAATATAATTCATATTAAAAATTCTTGAGAATTACAAAACATTCCTAATCGCGGCACGCAATACAGCAGTCATACAAGCAAGCGTTCGAAAACAATAATGAACACGAACTACCGACTGCAATATTTTAACATAATTGCACAATGCTTTCAATGTGTATGACACACATAAGGTACGTTCGACTTGGCGATCGCAACGCTTGTGGAATCATTTTATCTTTGTTTTTCATCGAAAGTTAAAGAAAGATAGATAATGTTCACGAGCGTTGCGATCACCAAGTGGAACTCAGCCATAGTAGACGCATAGTACGAATAAATATGTATACTCACGGTATTTAGGCACTTGATGCACCCTGGATACATTCTTTCGCCCGCGACGATATCTTCAATGGATAAAACTGGCAGGAATAACAGAGAGAAGACAATTTATCTCGATCGAATTTCGCATGAAAAATTGAAATTCTGCAACGTCATGCAAATTGCATGATGCAATCCACCGCTCGAAAACTTACAAGTTATAAAACGTTGTGACGTCAGAACAAGGGTGCCAAATTTAATAAATTATAAAACACTGCGACGTTAGAGCAAGGGTACCAAACTTAATAAATTATAAGACGCTGTGACGTCACATGAACAAGCGCTACGGGGATTACACAAGTAAAACAAGAAATCTAAGACTTGATATTTTTGCAATAATGATCACTTATATTTCAGTATTTCTGAGACTTTAGGCTCGTGATGCATTTTCGATGATCAGAAATTCGCGAGAATCTTCAAATATATAAGACCGACCTCCCTTGCGGCACAAAAAACATTAAAGTGTTGTATTATACTCACGATACTGAACGGTGTACGCCCACAGTATGTAAATACTCATTGCAGGTTCTTTGATACGCATATTTCTCATTGCTCGCGACAATATCTCCAATGGACAAAACTCGCAGAAGTTACAGAGGATGTTCAGGGTATTTATCCCGCTCGTTGCACCTCACGTTTCGTATGTAACCGAGATTCTATTAATACGCGACCAAGCGTTCGAAAATCTGCAAGTTGTAACACACTGTGACGTCAGAGCAAAGGTGTAAATTTAATAAATTATAAAACACTGCGTCGTTAGAGCAAGGGTACCAAACTTTACGAATTATAAAATGCTGTGGCGTTATAACAAGGGTACCAAATTTAACAAATTATAAGACGCTGTGACATCATATGAATTATAGAGATCATACATATGTAGAAAGAACTATAAGTCTCTTGATATTTTTTGCAATAATAGCAGTTATTGCATTATACTTATAAAACATTCCAATGAATAAATGTATGCCACGATTCTTGATTATTTCTAATTATTTAAATCGGCAATATTCTCGTAATAAAAAATGTTGCTCACAGCATGAATTGAAAAACTGTAGTGTAAAATGATGATTAATATGTGTTTTAAAAATAATTTCGGATATTTTGTAATATCTTGCATGCATTTCGACAAATAAATATGCATGACGAAAATTGCGCTTATTGGAATAAAAACAAGAATTTAATATAACGCGATACGATTAAAGTATCTAAGATTAAATATACTTAAAAATATTCATAATTGTAAACATATTTATAAATATATTTACTTTTTGCGGTCAACTTTTCATTGAAAAAATGTCAAACAAGTTTGATCACTTTTAAATTTATAAGAATCATTTATCAAGCATTTTATAGTTAATTATAATTTAATCATTTCATTATAAAATAAGAGAAATTTATATCACAAAAATAATTTTTAAGTCAAGTATTATAATATTTAACCGTATCTTTCTGCAATTGATATCAAATTTTAATGAACAAATTATACTGGAAGCATATAATTTCATTACAGCTAATGTCATTAAGAGGAACGAAAAGACCAAGCATGGACACACTTGAACAGCCATCAAGAACGACACAGCCACCACCTTTAATCTCGGATAAAGGTTGTTATTTTATATTGTATTAATAAATATAATTAAAAGTATTTATATAATTAAGTTCTGGACTCGAAATCTTTTATATTAATTTTGAAAAAACAAACACTACTCATCAAACGTTTCATTAGTTATTTCGATAATGAGCTTCAGAACATTTTGTTTATAAGAGAAAATTTATACTGTGTCATATGTATACGTTCAATATTCTTTTTTATACGGCAACTACTTTAAGATAACATTATTATGCAATGTATACCAAATTATAAAAATTAAATCACTTTTTTCAAAATAATGATTAAATAACAAAAATTAAATCGTCCTTTCAATGTCATTACAGGATATTCATGCTCCTGCCCACCCTTTGAATGCATATGCACATTACAAACAAACGTACCGTCCTATCCGCAATCTCATCATCAGACAACGGTATACTCCCAACAATTGCCTCCCACAGATGGTCCCTACTGGCTGCAAGGCGCTCCACCGCTGGACAACACCGTTGGTTATTGTCTACCAAATCAGATTTCCCAAGAAGCTTCTTATGGTGATTTTCCACCTTTTACGGGTGACCTTTTCCAACCAGAAGAAATCTTTCAACTAGACCAACCTTTAAGACCGGACTTTCCAGCAAATTCCCAGGACAGCTCGCTCACCACCAACTTTACTCGACCTTGGCAGCGGCACCATTAAATACGAGGTGAAACAACAGAATCAAGATCAAGGCTATTGGAACCAGTTTCTCAGCGAAGACTCCAGCAGCAGTCATCTGAGCTTACCTCAGGAGGAAAAGCTCCATTTTGCCAACTTCGAGTCTGAGAAGATCTGCAATAGTTTCTCTTCGAGAAGGATGCACCATTATGTCCAAGAAAAGAATCAGAGTCAACCTGGAAATGACAGTCTATGTTACCAGAATTATTCTAGATCGCAAAATCAAAAAGATTTCAT